TACGGTAACACTGCACTTCAGATTAGGATCGATGGAGATTTGTTGTGAAAATGATTGAAATCAAAAAGAATGTCCGCTAGGGATATACATGCAGAGTATATCCTGTATGGCATTTTCAAATTATGTTCTTACTATTACCATCGCAACTATCTAGACGATATGGGCTGAGGTGAGACCTATAAGCCCATTTTTGCACTGATACTTATCAATTGTGTTAGAACTGTTAGTTTTTCAGTAATTGTTTTGGTTTAAGCACTATGGAAACTATGACTATCAAGTTTTGTTTTGAATACTGACACCGAAGTAGCACTAACTGTTTCAGCTGCGAGTTGATTTCAGAGGGAAAAGACTCTGTTTGGTAGAAAGTTCTCCCTATACAGTGTGGGGTAGTTTTCTTTTTTCAAGTTTGAGTCTGTGACCCCGGAGACTCTGGTCTGTGTTCAAGGCATAGAGGTGTCTAACTGTTTGAATGTTGTTGTGGAGTGTTTGGTAGGTGAAGATAAGATTTCAGTCATAAACATAAACAAACAGTCTATCTTACGTCAATTACCAATTATTATTTTATTTATTTTTATTTACGTATATACGAAATATCATGTTTTTTAGGGCAAGTATTATGAAACTTTTTTGATAGATAACTAAATGTTAACTTTTGGAGTTACTATGAGAAATATTGTCATTCCAGAAGTTAACTTCTAGTTATTCTGTCAAAATAGTTTTATAATACCCGCCCTAAGTTGTCTTTTTTTGTTGTTGTTGAATCACGGCTTAAGGCAAACATAAGTAGTATAAATGACATAATGTTTTCATATTCTTAAACTCGAATTTTTATTTACCTACTACACTTTACGTTTTTATACATATGAATAGGAGGAGATAGGAGCACAAAACTTGTTATCGCCATACCAACTTTGCATATTTGTAACATTTTATCAAATTTACCATAAAGCTATTTTGAATTTTAATAATATAGATAACAGAAAACAGATGAACTAATTTAAGTAATTAAAAATATAAATAAATATCCAAATTTTGATATATATCCGATATATATCGATATATATCGGATAATTGGATATTTATATAAATATCATGATATTTGCCAACCCTGATTTCAATGCATTTAATGCATAGTTTGACAAATATTTGACAATAAAATTCATATAATAGGACAAGAGCTAATGTGATGCTGTCCCAGTTACTTTTGGTGACGATGGTACATGACATTGATGAACCTGAAGAAACGCTGCTTCAGTAGCAACAGCCAAAGGTCCAAGTTGCTCTCACTCAGACGGATTATATTTCTCTTAACCCCATCGGAAGAGAAAATCGGAAAAGACAGTAATCTCAAATTATTGATAATTTTGTCAGGAAGAGATGTTTTCTCCAGACCTATTAATTCAAGAACTAATTGCTCTGATTTGTATACTCCACTCCAGTGATCCACACAGTTGAGTCTGCACTAAGGCAAGAAATTAGGCAAAGTTCTTGGACATCAGCATATCCACTTCAATGAAAGTCACGCATACGCATCTTCTATTCTAGGACACAACAGACCATCAGGTTCAAAGCAATTGAAAGTCCTTCGGCGATCGAATTGCGGTCGATACAAAATAAACAGAAACAAACTCAATCTTGCCAGGTGGAATATTCGGACACATCTGGATACCAGCATTTGTGTAAGACCACAACGAAGAACGGCAATGATGGCACTAGAATTGAAGAGATCGATATTGCAGCTCTAAGTGAAACTAGAAGAGCAGGCGGAGGTCAACTGAAGGAGGATGGAGGAGGCTATACGTTTTTCTGGAAAGGGAAGATAATGAGTCTGGCATCCACGAAATGGGTTTCGCCATGGAAAATGAAATTGTGGACCATCTTGCTGAGATTTCATCCGGAATATGCGAAAGACTGATGACACTGCGGCTTAAACTCAACAACATCCAACAAGCTACGCTAATCAGCGCCTGTACGCTCCAACCCTCACAACTGACGAAAACCAAAAAGTTGAGCTCAGTTAAACTATACCTATAATCTGTACCTCGATCTGATAAACTTGTTCTTTTTGGTGATTTCAACGCCCGGGTCGATACAGAGTCAGATCTATGGAAAGGCGTGATCGGCAAGGAAGAAAACGGAAAAATGAACTCGAACGGACTTCGCCTACTAACCACATGGTCAGAACATGGCCTTGTAAAAACAAATACACTTTTTCGACAAAATAATAAATTCGAGACTTCCTGGCGATACCCTAGAGTTTAACAAGTGCGGATGACTGCTGGACTGACCATCATCAGCTGATACGAGCCAGAATGAACTTGCACATCTCACCAAAGCGTAGATGTTAAAAAAAGCAGGTCAAACGCAAGTTTAACATAGAACGCCTTCGAAACGATCATATCAAGGCAAACTTCCAAGCCTCTCTAAACCAGAAACTACGTTTGATGAGAACGACACGGAAATCTCATTATTTATAGAAAAAACAGAAAAGCGCATAATGCATGGAAAAGCGACCCCAGCTCGACTGTAAAAAAAGGCAATACCTACCAGGAAGCAAAAGCAGAAGTTCAATAACAAACGCGAGCATCAAAGAACTAAATGGTTGATAATAAAATCAAACGAAATGCAGCAACTAGCGGAATTCAAGAGCACCAGGGCCTTCTTTCAGGCTACTAAGATGGTATACAGACCAACCACTTAAGGACTGATTCTCTTACGATCCAAGGATGGCACAAGACTACGAAAAGACAGTTCTTCCATTAATTCTCGTTGGAAGGAACACTTTCAGGAACTACTTAAGAGAGATCACAAAAATGACATCTTCAACGAAATTCCTCAGAAACCAATACAACAAGAATTGATCAAGGTTCCCAGATTAGAGAAGATCGGAAAGGCAATCAGACAACTAAAGAACAATAAGTGAGCTGGTAGTGACGGCATTCCTGCTAAATTCTTTAAACAAAGATGCCCCACACTAGGTGCCCAGACACACATCCTAATAAGTAAAATATGGATTACCGAGACCATACCTGCCGAACTTAGAAATGGCTTCATATTTTCCATTTTTGAAAAGGGAGACACGGCTGTGAAAACTACACAGGAATATCTTTACTTTATGTTGCGGGAAAGATACCTATTTGCTAGGATATCATCAAATAGTCCATTCCCAACTGCCGAAGAGAACCTGCCAAAGACACAGTGTGGTTTCGGACCCAACTGAGGTATAGCTGACATGATTTTCAGTGCAAGACAAAAGCACCAGAAATCCAGAGAACAAAATCGCTCTCTAAGCATGTCCTCCATAGATTTAGTGAAAGCATTTGATTCGGTCAACAGAGAAGTACTTTGGAAGATATTGGCAAAGGTTGGGTGTCCATACATCCAGAGACTCCGCCTGCTGATAAACCAGCGAAACTAAAATGCCTTGATAGCCATATTTGAAAATGCTACAAAATTTGGGATTCTTTATTCAAAACTCAAACATTTCTCTATAATTTTCTTTGTATTGGTCCTAGGGCTATTCTACCTTAGCTTTGAAAGATGTTTATGACCATTTCCGATTAGGTCTCTTCTTAAAAAAAAAACATAGATTTGTTGTTCCGAGTACTGAACAAGTTTGTTTCTACGACCATTCCTTGCCCCTTTTCAGGTTTAGGGTTGCCAGAAAAAAAAAAAAAAAAAAACGCAAACATTTTTTCAAAATTCTATACCACCGATAATCCGTATTAATACGAGTAATAGTATATTGTTGTATTAGGAGTAGAAGCTTTGAAAAAGTGCTTCTACTCCGCATGCAACACGCTATTTTTTCTCCGAACGAATGGGGTAAGCTCGGGGGTAACTGAATGGTTGAGCGGCAGTTAAAGTACAAGCGGCACTAAAAGTACTTTTGCAGCCGCTCCAGCGGCACTAAAAGTACTTCTACTGCCGCTGCAGTTGCCTAACAGCATTGAAGTTAAATTTCAACCACCTCGACAGGTGTTAACCCGCTGGATTTGCCTAGCAGCATAGAAATTAAATTTCTGACATCTTGACAGGCGTTAACAAAGTGACGTTTTTTTGACGTTTGGAAAAAAACGTTTCTAAATTCTGTGCTCTAGGAATATTTGTATAACATAGTCTCATTGCCTTCTGCATTACCATACATTCCTCTCAAGGGCAAGAAAGCTTCATTTACTCTTGTAATACCTGATAAGTTTTCTATTATCTGTCCTATAAATCGTACCAAATCAATCGATAATGGAGTGATTCAATAAAAGTTCTGTTTCTGTGCCTAGTTTTCATTGCTATTATAAAAAATGAATTCAACCATTACTTCAGTCTCAAAAAACTTTATCCCAATGTTAATAAAATTAACCCACAGTTATCATATAACATTATTACCACTTGACTTATCTTAATTTCTTTATAATAAAACTTTTCTTGCTACCTGTACGACGAGAACCAGATAAATCTAATACCTTCTAATCTATGCATGGGTATACGATGACATTTTTATGTTTTAGAAAGATTAAATTTCAATTTATTACTATTTATGTGACTCTAGTAGTTGTAGGAATTTTATTCCACTATTTATTTGAGTTTCATTTTTGTTGGAGGTAGAGAAAAATTTGCTCAGTTAAATCCGAATTTAAATTCCATTTATTTAAAGCCACACGTTTCAAACACCATATCACGTAACCATATAGTTAAAATCGGCCTTATTTATTATTATTGATTTATAAGGTACCATTTATTGATATACGGTGACTGTTTAATTGATTTTCTCAGTCTATAGAATCACGCGAACGAAAAATATCGGCACCAAACATGCAAGAATTTGTTGATTGAAAAGAACCTTTCTACGATAAGTTTGTTCCTTCAAAAAAACGAGGAATCGTGTATGGAAATGTTTTGTTAGTAACCAGGTGTTATGCCAAGTAATTAGGTATTGATAATTGTCAAGAAACGCCAAATTTACTTCATTTTTATCGAACATTTTTTTCCCCATTATTTTAATCATGGCATTATACGTAGACAGACAGTTGTGTCCAGAAGAACGTCTCAAATTACTTCTCAGTAATTGTGGAAAAGTGGTAATCGATCCAAAAATCAGTGCCAAATTGTACTTCAATTCCGGCCTCAATATGTTCCAACAATTTAACCTCTACTACAATGATCAAGCGTGGGAAAACGCCTTTTACCTTTTCCTCAAATACGAAATACTATTTTTCGATAAAATCAAAAAGCATCCAGAATATTCCAAGATTCCTGTCAATATTAAATCGGTAATCGCTTCAAACTTTCGACTGATTAAGCCTAAAGGTGAACATGCTAAGCTGGAACTTTTTAAGCAATTTAGAATGGATTACATTGTTTATGTGGAAGAATTGAGAATAAAGAAGAATTTGACTAGTGATTCTAATGAGGATTCCACAACAAGCGAAGAAAGCAAGCGAGGTACAGAAATATTGCTTATCTTCCATATATGTAATAAATTTTTTTCAAATATTTTTTTCCTCCATTTAAGGAACACGATTTCGAAAAGAAAGAAAAACAGAAATACAAGATGTTTTCCCGTGATATTGCGGCGAAGTGATGCCAGGGAAAATCCCTATTTACCTTCTAAAATTTTCAATGTCGAATAAAAATTCAAAATCAAATGATTACCTTAATAAAAAAAGATCCAAAATGCATCAGGTGGAAACGCCCTTTGTGGTGCAAAATTATTTGCAGAAACTCTTTATCAAATCTATTAAATCTTTTCAACCGCATCTTAATTGCAATAGTTATTACGGGAGAACATTCTTAAGACAGCTTGTTGGCAACAAAAATCAATTAATTGTTCCCATAACTTTGTCGACCCGCTGGTAACAACTACTCCGAGATCAAATACCTCCATACCACCGGCATTGAATTACACTAAACTTTCGTTGGCATTGGAAATTGTAAAAAGTTTTTTCAGGTATAGTAATTAACGCACAAGTTGAATATTGTTTGGACTGGAAGCTAGGCCTATTTCCTTTTGATGAGTATAAATAAGGATGGAACGTGTAGACTGGCGAGGAGATCTTGCATCCTCAGATCAGCGGGTCAATTCTCAAACAAGGATTGCTATATTCTAGACTTCACGTTGGTTACCTACTACTTGAAAAAACTTGTTGCATTCAATTATGTTCCAATTTAACCTTGCCATATTCCTGAGCTAACAACGGGAATGTTTTATTTCAAAAACGTTTATCACTACATACATTTTGTGTACAATTAGCTTCATCATTCAGTTTTCGTCAAATCATCACAATTTTTAGACTTATCGAGAAGATCCACCGGATCCACTGTGTCCGCCCCTACATCTCAAACCAATGGCATGTTAAAAAGAAGAAAGTAAACGGGCAGTTCTAGAATCACCATTGCGGAAACAACATTTCATTCGTCGATAATATTCTTGGGGAGATTCTTCGCACTCGAGCTAATAATAAAAACTATCAAGAAAAAAATTGGTACGCCGATAATTCACTAAATCACGGGCTTTAGGAAAAGAAAAGCTTGAGAACAAATTTATGCAAAACAGTTGTAAACATCGAAAATGCGGAACATTATGTCAGCTCAGTCGAAAGATATCATATTATATTATGGCAGTTTATGTTTATGGTGGGTACCTATTTTTAGGTTGTTTGTGTAGGATGAAACTGGTTAACATAACTACATAATATAGATGAAGGACAGAGGCAAGGGCACCAATTTTAAATAAAAATAAAAATAGAAAATATATTTGATAAGGACATTTATACCCAATTGTATAGTTCTCAAAAGTGAAACAAATATGTTAAACCAGTATATTATATAGTTAAATAAAGAACCGAAATATTTGTTTTTCTAAAAAAATTTAAAGTTGAAGCTAGTAAATTCATTGTTTACCACGGTATAGATAGCTTGCTCTCTGCGCAGTGAACAATGTCACCGAAGTAACGGTGTATTCCTCATACATTCCTCACTACGCTGCATATTCTGTATCATAGTATATAATGTAGTCCAAGTGTCGGAGTACTGCTCTTCTTCTTATTGCGGTCTCTCCTTTTGAAGGTTGGCGATCCAAGTGACGATTGTTGTTCTGGAAACTGCAGCCTGCAAAATTTCTGTATAAGAGTGGTCGAACCATCTCAGATACTTTAGCCATGAGTTCTGGCGTCTCCCAACTGATCTTCTACCTTGTACTTCACCCATATTATCAGTCGGAATAGCTCGTACCTTTCACCTCTCATCACGTGATCCAAGTATTGCATTTTCCTCTCTTTAACCCGGGAGTACACGCGTGTCGGTCAAAAAGACCGACCATTGATAAAATCAGTAATTACGCAACTGGTACAAGGGTGGCAGTTTTGTCCATCCAGGAATGCCTGATGCAGGTTTTCCACTACCCATTGGCCCAAAAATATTTTGGTTTTTGGTTGAAGTATAGTTCGTTGGTTTCATAGTCGGTGCTTTTGGCTAGGCGCGTGAACCTGAGTATCTAAAATATTTGTGTTCAAAATTGGCATTTTCTGATATTGGGAGTAGGTACTTTTGGCTATCCATAATACGGTAACTGTACTGCAGAATATAATTTCCTTTGTAATGATTATGAATTCTAGGAATTATAGTGCTTGTACATTTTTTTCGCGGAAACGATCCCAAACGTATCCTGAATGCTAAGGCATGACTTCCGCAGGTAATATTTGAAAGTTTCATGTCTTTATTGATTAGTAAACCTGCGTAGGTCAAGCCTTAGCGTTCAGGATACCTTTGGAATCGTCTCCGCGAGAAAGCTAATAATTCATATAAACTTTTGGGCAGTCGGTCGATTTGACTGAACGCGTGTAATGACGTAAGTTTTCTGACGCGTGTAATGTCTGGTTAATGGTGTTTAGCAGTTCTATATGCTTATTCATGCATTGGAGTACTTCCTCGTTCGTGATCCTATGTATACATGAAATTCATAACATCAGTCTAGATATATACATTTCGAAAGCCTCTATTTTCTGTTTGTGAGTACATTGTCCAACTTTCGTAAAGTAAGACAGAAATAACATAACATCTGACCATTCGAGTTCTGAACTCTAGACTGAGGTGTGATCTTGTGAAAAATGTTTTTCAGTATTTCCTTTTTCGGATTACACTGGCTTATGAATACTTATGATATTCGCTCCCACATATTTTATTGAAGATACCTGTTCTATTGTTTGTCCCCTGACATGTAGATGGATCATAAAAAAATCGATAAGAATCCAGAAAGAAAATATGCACAAATAATGATTCATGTTACCGAATGAAGGATTAAGCTCGATGATGCATCTCTCGTCCTCAATTAGGAAAAAAAAATACAACTATTTGTCAATAAATTTCTCAAACTCTCGATTATGAGATGGTAATAACGATAAAGATCCCGCTAATGAGGTTGAATATCTATGAAATATCATTAGATACCTCCCGCCGTGCAAAGCATGTCAGCGTATAAAGTTAGAGTATGACACGCTCATATCCTGCTACGTTAATATGTTATTCAATCAATTTCATGTAAAACAAGCAACAGTGACCCCGCTTACAAGCCATTTTGAACATGTTTTCTCGCCACTTTTATAGCTTACCCCAGGTTGGAAGTAATTTGTTTTAATTTCGATTTTTCCCGTATTGATTTAAAGATTATTTTTTAGCGGTTGCTGGCAAAATATGTAGCCACATTCTCGGTCTTAATGACTGAATCCAATTAACCAATTTTTCTTATCTCGCATTTCACTATAAGACCGACCCTAAAAAAAAAATATTTAAAACCAGAAATTTGCATACTGCCTCAATTTAACAGCCATCGCCAGTGCTACGAGAGCAGTGGGCAGGGTACAACATAAGTGGTAATTACAAAGTAACATCTTAATTAAGAAGTTCATTTAAGGTTGGTGAAGTGATTTGTTTTGGAAAAAGGTGACCGGTTGAGGTCCCACACGCTTTTTTTTATATTAATGGGTATTTTTCGTTTTACTGACGTTGATAAGGCCGTTGTTGCATTTTAATGGATTATTTACTAATTGCCTAATTTTCATTGAGAAATAAATGCACGGAACCTGTATTTAAACGCAAAGTTGATTTTTGATTAAGCTATCTTTATAAAAATAATAAAAAATGAAAATTTTCATATCGGTGGAGGCATCATCATACCTTATAGAGAAATGAGGATGAAAATACTAATGGTGTGGAGAATGATATTAAAGAAGGTTACCTGATTGTTTGTGGCTTACATTGGATCAGTTGTGTCCTAACGAAATATAGATTCTGCAAAATGGGGAATCTTGCCACAATCTACCTGATTATTGAAACGAACGAAGGAAGTTTCAATTTTGTTTTGAATAGGTACCCACTTCGATAGATCATAAACCATTTAGAAGCAAAGTAATAATAAACCTGTTTTTCGTAAGCAAAATTTTATCAGAAAAAAGTGAAGCTTTGAAATTTGGGTGAATCGTAATGCTCTTTTGGTAGCGCTTCAACTTTTCCAATACATTCTGTCTAAAATCAATTTGGACCCAAATTTAGACATGTTAACAATCAAGAAATGCTACAAAAGATTATCCAGCATAATCAGCAATTCATCGACCGAGCGCCATTGGGACATCAGAATAAAATATTCATATACAAAACAACGTCGGCATTTGACGGACTTCACAGTTATCAAACTTCCGAATAAAACAACATCGAGTGGTTTGACTCAACTCAACAAGATCTCAATACACATCCTACTTCTATACAAAATGTAACGGCATTCTGCCTGCTTGATTACAGGAATGCTCCATAGAAGGGAAGGACTGTTAAGTATTCTGGCCCTTCAAGTCTAACGGGAAAATACTAGCTCAGCCTCTATGTCGACTACCCAAGGAATGATTACACTATTGCTAGATCCTAAGGAGCATAGAAGAGTTTCAATAATACTTGATCAATACCCATTAAACTCTATATTAACGTACCTGGAATAGACTCGTCACCCGTCAACCGCTACAAGACATAAAAGCAGATTGAAAATTGAAATGTTTTACGTTTTTATGTGAATTTTCAAATGCACATATTTGAGAAAAATACTGCGATATTATCCTAGCATGTAGATACAATATTGTTGGTATTCAATATTCACAACATTGGACAACTAGGAAATGCGGTTGAGACATTGCAGACAAACATCTTGAAAGCTCACCACACCTCTCTGTCATCAGATCAACGAGGTGACGACCAGATGGCGAACTCCCCAGAAAATGAAAACTAGATCCCCGCAGAGAACTCGAAGATTAGGATAGAAAATGCAGAATTCACTTAACTGGAAGGCATACGAAAATTATGAAAAGGATGAAGACCTCGCAATCACATTGGCAAGAGAAAAAACTAGAGTTAGACGGCTTAAGTTGAGCGATTGAGTGAACAGCACGAAAACTACGCAATCAAGACGCTTATCAGAAATTACGCCACTTATCAGAAAATTGGTAAGAAGACCCATATACAGTCTTTTATGAAATGATAAGGTACTGGAAGTCATCATGCTAGACAAAGCAGGAAAAAACCAAAAGTTCTCACAAAACTATCGCAACATCAGTCTTTTGTCCAGCCTAGAAAGAGTATCAGAAAGAGTAATCGACTTCAGTATTATACAGGAAACTGAAGTACTGAAACAGCAAATCTGATCCGGGCTCGACAAGTCGTCACAGCCGGACCAGTGTTTTTCTCATGCATATCGATTCTTTGACGAAGCTTCTTTGCATAGTAGTCTAGACAGAGCATCAGCATTTTCATCAATATTTCCCGGTCGATGTTTAGGGCTGGCGTCTCTAGATCTTCAAAAGCATTGGGAACGATCCCTAGATGGAGAGGACATCCTTAGTCTACAATCCCATTGCATATGTCCAAGCTTATGGCACCGGTAACATATTACTTGGTTTCTCGGTGTTGGTGTTTGTGTGGAGTCGTTTCCCAGTTGTTCTAGTAATAGTAATAGTTTCTTCATTTTCTCGATAAACTTACTCATAACATTCTCGCAGCTACTATCCTCTTTTGTCGATTGTTTATCCTTTGGGTCTTCAATGGATACTCTTCGTATTCTGGGTCGAGAGTCACCAAAGATTGCTGCCAGTTCCAGTGCTCGGACAAGGGCTTCGCTATTTTTCCTTAACTTGGACATTCTCAGGTTTTCCTGGATCTTGGAATCTCTGAGGCCATCAATAAACGCAGATACTGCCATCCATTCCTGCATGTCTTCCCCAGCTGCAGGAGTCGCTAACCTTACTAGATTTTTAACATCCGATTCGAGTTCTTGTAAACTCTCTCCATTTTTTTGAATCCTTGATTTAACTTGAGTTCTACATACTTCTTGTCTGT